CACCGGCTCCTGCGTCCCGGGGCTGCTGCTCCTGGTTCTCCTGAGCCGAGCGCTTCCGTCGGGAGCTGCCTCCCCACATCCCCACGGGGCGCACAGACCACCCCCGGAGGCCCCAGGGGCTCCCCATCCGCAGCAGGAGGAATTCCCGCTCCCGCCCCGCTGTGGGCAGCCAGGCGAGGGGAGAGAGGAAGGGTCCCCTCAGCCCACGGCCTGGCATCCCCCACTCGCGCCGAGGCCTTCATCAGACTCTCCGCGCGTGGCCTGTGCCCCTCCGGGCGGAGCCCGCTCACCGTCCCCTTGCTCTGCTGGCCCAGGGACCCCGCCTCCCTGCCCCCTCCTTGACGCGCCCGCTCTGTGCTGGCTGCGGGGGCACCCGTTAGTGTCCCCGAATCCATAAGAAGACGGGACGCTGAATCTGGTTAAAACAAATAAAACTAAGTGACGCGGAACATCCAAAGCGTGGGCGGTGGAGCCGTCCAGCGCGAGACTAGGAAGCGATAAACCACAGCGTTGTCCCTGACGCAGTTAAAGTCCACCTGAGAAGGCACGAATGGCACCTCGCACCTGTCAGGGCGGCCACCGCCCAAAACCCAGACAAGGACACGTGTCGGGAGGACGTGGAGAAACGGGACCCGCGGGCGCCGCTGCCGGGAACCCACGCCGCTGTCGTCGTGGCAGGAGGCGGTAGGGCAGGCGCCCGAGCTGGTAAACACCGTGTGACGACACAGAACCACCGCGTGACCCAGCAGTTCCACGTCCCGGCGCACACGCCGGAGGACGGAGAGCGGGACCGCCAACGGGTGCGTGCACACCTGTGGCCACGGCAGCAGTGGTCACAGCGGCCGGGAAGGTGGAGCGAGCCGGGAGTCCGTCAGCAGGTGCCTGGATGGGGGCGTCTGGGGGGCTCAGCGGTGGAGGGTCTGCCTTCGGCCCAGGGCGTGACCCTGGAGTCCCGGGATCGAGTCCCGCGTCGGGCTCCCTGCGTGGAGCCTGCTTCTCCCTCTGCCTGGGTCTCTGCCTCTCTCTCTCTCTCTCTCTCTCTCTGTGGGTCTCTCATGAATAAATAAATAACGTCTTCACAAAAATAAGAAAATAGCTGAGTCTTTCCCCAAAGCTCCCTGATATTCCCATCTACGCAGCCAGCAGCATCTTCCTTCACAGACAGACCCACAGCATCTTCCAGAGGCAATAAGCAGGCAGCGAGAAAGCGGACCGTGGGTGTCAGCATCACAGGTCCTAAGGGATTATGCCTTCTAGACCTCTTCCCCTGACGTGGGTTCTGCTCTTGGATACGTGACTGCTCTTATTCGGGCTGATGACTGGTCAGAAGGGGTGACAGGGCAGTCATCAGCGTCCAGTTATCTGCTCGGGTCCAGTGCTGCCTTTCGGCCTCCCAGGTGCGTGTGGCTCAGGAGACTCCTCCCTGGTGGGCCTTGCGGGCACGGGGTGCAGAGCCCCGGAGTGTCCGCTGCACCCCAGCTCCTGTGAGTGACCAGCGGGGGAAGGGGGCCCACCTGAGGGACAACGGGGGGGTTGGGGAGCCAGGGAAGGCTTCCTGGAGCAGGCAGGCACCTGGGGGGGGGGACGGGGGCGGCCCGGCAGGGCAGGGCGCAGGGGGGAGCGGGGCCAGGGCTGGAGAGCAGGCGGCTGGTTTCTGCTCTGCTCCCAGGAGGCACCGTGGGAACCGCCCGAGGCCCACGGGCACCCGCCCCCCGAGTCCCGGCTGCTGGGCCCCCGGGGACCCGGCTCCGCAGGGCTGCTTGCCACCGGGCCGCCCGGGCCTTTCCGTGTCGAGGAGAACACGGAGATGAAACAATGTCAGGGCGAAAGAATCGTCCACGGGCAACAATAACCTCATTATGTTAAAATGAATAAGGTCTTGTGTGGGTTGGGGGCCCCCCTGGTGCCCGGAGTTGACATAACCCTCGTCCCGGGCACCGGGGAGTTCTCTGGAGCTGTTCCTCGGGCCGCGGTCGCCCAGTCAGGGAGGCGGGAGGACTGGTGACAGGCCGGCGCTGGGGGCTCCGTGTGCGTGTCAGGGGGACAGTGTCCTCTCCTCTGCTCCACGCAGAGGCGGGCGGGCCCAGGCCGGGGCGGGAAGGAGGCTCTGGGGCCTGTTCCTGCCCCTCCCCACCTGCCCTGCAAAGGCGGCGGCTTCACGGGGTGGAACCTCCACCCGCGGGCTCCCCCTGAGGCTCCAGAAGGGCCAGGAGACCTCTGTCTGTCTGTCTTGTCCTGGTCCCCCAGCCGGCGGCTCACAGGCTGGGACGGGGCTTCCCCTTCGTCCCCGAGGCCGCCCTGTGGCCAGGCCTGAGCTGGGGTCCCCGGGGAGGAGGCCCACCGTGCCAGGGGGTCCTCGGGAAGGATGGGCTCTGCCCCTGATGGCGGGGGGGGGGGGAGACACTGGCAGCCAAACCTGGGGGTTCCACCCTTGGCGGCTCAGCATTTTCACTGGAATTCACATCACAAGTGGCAACCACACTCGGCCAGACCCAAATTTCAACTACAGAGAAGTTGTGGAATTGGTTCATTCTGGGAGAAGAAAAAAACAAAAAACAAAAAACAAACAAACAAACAAAAAAAACTCGGGGGGTGCAGAAGAGACATAGCTCTCTGCCTGAAGGGAGGGTTCCACCCAGAACATTTCCTGGGCCTGTTGCTCCCTCCCACTTGCAGTGTGGACATAAGCGTGTCTCAGCAGCTCTGGCCTACGACTGACCAGCAAGCGTCTGTGGAAGGGAGACAAAACCCCAGAAATTTCTCTGTACAGGGGAATACCCAGGGAATGCAAACAAACACCCTGAGATGACGAACAAATAAGAATCCTTCGGATCTGGGGATCCCTGGGTGGCGCAGCGGTCTGGCGCCTGCCTTTGACCCAGAGCGCGATCCTGGAGACCCGGGATCGAATCCCACATCGGGCTCCCGGTGCATGGAGCCTGCTTCTCCCTCTGCCTGTGTCTCTGACTCTCTCTCTCTCTCTGTGACTATAATAAATTAAATAAATAAATAAATAAATAAATAAATAAATAAATAAATAAGAATCCTTCGGATCTGGCTTCCAGGGTGAGACCAGCCTCCAGACTGAAGCCAGCACCACCATCTGAAGTCACATGCACTGCGTTTCCCGTGGCATCCCCGTCGGTCCCACACAGTTACACGTGCATGATGCAGAGTCCCGTGTCTCGGTGGACACAGCGGCCTCGCAAGAACAGCCTCGACGCCCCAGCACGCGGGGGAGGCGCGTGTCCCCCGGGCCAGGGGACAGCTCACAGGAGGCAGCGACAGCCAGCGCTCCTGAGTGGGGGGCGGGCTCCCGACAAGAGTTCACAACAGACCTGGCCATCACAGAATCACCCCGGTCCTCTGGAAACATCCTTTTTTTTTTTTTTTTCTGATGGAGAAAAAAACTTTTCAGTGGCTATATACGGAGTTTATAAGATGCATGTGGTCATTTCAGAGTCTTCCGTGAACAGAAGAATATGCACAAAGCCCAGGTTTACAAGAGCCTCATTGTAAAACTGTTACAGATAAGTTCTTGAACCTATGGACTCGCATACTTGAAAAAAAAAAAAAAGAAAAGAGAAATTCCACATTGCTATTTTGGGTAGCGAAATCTGCACCGCCAAGGAGACGTGGCTCCTATGAACAACTCGGGAAGAAAACCCTGCGTGCTCCACAATTCTACTAATTGCTGCTGGGCTCTGATGACATTAATTTACTGATAACCTCGTAAGAGTGGTGTTTATTTGGAAAAAAAAATAAAAATAAAGCTATCACATCAGCCAGACTCCTCAGACTAATGTTAAGATTATCGGACTTTGGACTTCCACCAGAATGTGGGTCATTTTCCCGGTCGACAAGGAAGGTCTTTATATATATTCTCATGACGTGGTGTTTATTTACACAGGCTTTAGAAGGTGCAGCCTCCTACACCAGTAGAGAGTATGTATTTGGTCAGTTATGTTTAAAAAAAAAAATGACACAAGCCAGCTCCCTGCCCTGTTAGCAGAGAAACGTTCATTTCTTAGGAGGTTAACACGGTAAATCTAAATCCCACGTCAAGCCAAAGGGATCCCAACAACATAAGGACAGAATACTATTTTAAGATTTTGCTTTATGCAGAATTTCAGCCAAACATTTTAAGGGGCAAGACCAGTCGTTACGGGGCCAGCAGATGCGAAGGGTTTTCCTGCCGAGCCTGGCCGGCCGGCCTGCCCTGCGGGCCCAGGTCCTCAGGTGGCCCCGGGCCATCTGCCCTGCGGCCCCCAGGAGCCAGCGCAGCGGTCACCCTCCACCAGCAGCAGCACTGGGGGGGGGGGGGACCTGCATTGCAGGTGCTTCTGCCCGACATCACCGACATCACCTGTTCGGGGAGAGCCCACAGGTGCGGGAAGCAGCCGCAGGCTGACCCCCCTCCTCCCGGGGCTGCTGGATTCCTCCCCTCAAGGGCCCTACACACAGGAGATGGATCCAGCGGCCGGAGCGGTCTGGAAAGATTTCCCGGCACTGCGACAGGAAAGCCGTGAGGACAATTTCGCCGAAATCGGGCGAAGTCGGTGCACGGCCCTGCCCCTGCTGCCCCGGCCCGGGGCCCGGTTTACAGCCCGTCTCCAAGCAGAAAGCCTCCTCACCGAGGGTGAGTCCCTCCCTGAATTTCTACGAGCCAGAGGCCCCAGCTCACAAGCAAGCGGGCTTGGAGGCTGCCCTGGTGTTCGCAAACACGTCCCAGGGGGCCCGGTCCAGGTCCAGGTCCAGGTCCAGGTCCAGGTCCAGGTCCGCAGCTGCCTGCGACCGCTCGCCAGCACCTGAGCCGGGGGGGGGGGGGGGGGGGGGGCGCCCGCACGGTGCCTGCTGCCGGGGTCGGGGCGCGGCGGGGGCACAGGTGCGGGCCGGTGCGCTCCCGGGCGCGGGGGGCGGCGCGGTGCCCGGCAGCCCCGGCCGGCCCTCGCCCCCGCCCTCGCCCCCGCCCTCGCCGCCAGCGACCCGGCCCTACTCACCCAGCAGCAGCCAGACGCTGCGTCGCGGGAGGCCGCGCAGGCTCCGAGCCATGGCGCGCAGCGGAGCCGGGCCGCCTGCGAACACTGAGCCGCCGCGGCGCCGGGGGCGGGGGCGGGGGCGGGCGCGGGCGCGGGCGCGGCGGGGAGCGGAGGCGCGCGCAAGGCCCTGCCCACCGCGGCTCGGGGGGGCGGCGGGGGTGGGGCGGGTCTCCAGGGGCGGCCCCGCGGGAGGACCTCTGGGCGGGCACCTGCGGGCGGGGTGATGGTGGGGGTGAGGAGGGTGATGGTGGGAGTGGGGGTGATGGTGGTGATGGTGGTGGGCGGGCACCTGCGGGGGGCGGGGGGTTCCGACGGTGATGGGCGGGCACCTGCGGGGGGGGTGATGGTGGGGGTGAGGGTGATGGTGGGAGTGGGGGTGATGATGGTGATGATGGTGGGCGGGCGCCTGCGGGGGGGGGGTCCGACGGTGATGGGCGGGCACCTGCGGGGGGGGTGATGGTGGGGGTGAGGGTGATGGTGGGAGTGGGGGTGATGACGGTGATGGTGGTGGGCGGGCGCCTGCGGGGGGCGGGGGGTTCCGACGGTGATGGGCGGGCACCTGCGGGGGGGGGTGATGGTGATGGTGGTGGGCGGGCACCTGCGGGGGGGGCGGTGATGGTGATGGGCGGGCACCTGCGAGGGGGGGGTCCGACGGTGATGGTGGTGGGCGGGCACCTGCGGGGGGGGGCGGTGATGGTGGTGGGCGGGCACCTGCGGGGGGGGTGATGGTGGGGTGATGGTGATGGTGGGAGTGGGGGTGATGATGGTGATGATGGTGGGCGGGCACCTGCGGGGGGGGCGGTGATGATGGGCGGGCACCTGCGGGGGGGGGCGGTGATGGTGGTGGGCGGGCACCTGCGGGGGGGGGCGGTGATGGTGGTGGGCGGGCACCTGCGGGCGGGGCGGTGATGGTGGGGTGAGGGTGACTGCGGGCGGCGGTGATGGTGGGGGTGAGGGTGATGGTGGGCACGTGCGGGGTGGTGGTGGTGATGGTGGTGGGCGGGCACCTGCGGGGCGGCGGTGATGGTGTGATGGTGGTGGGCGTGCGCGCCGCGGGCAGGCGCAGAGCGAGCTGGGGGTCGCGGGCCCTCCCTGCGGGGCGCGCACGGGGCTGGAGCTCCGGGGAGGCCCCGCGCCGCCGTCGCCGTCGCCCAGCAGGGAGGCTCTCCGCCACCGGGCACCTGGGTCCGACCCCGAGCGCCATCCTCTTCCTCTCCTTGCCCGGGGTCAGCCCCGAGGCTCCCCCGAGGGGCGGACCCCGGGGCTCCCGCGGGGACAAACCGAGCCCCGAGCTAATCGGGAAAGGCCGCCCCGGGAGAACTGGCTGAGTGCGCGGACCCAGGGGCGGGCACGGCGGGCGGGGGGGCGCCGGCCGGGTGCCCCGGGGGACTGCAGGCGGCCCAGCGGTGGCGCCCTAGGGCGGCTGGAGAGGCCCCCGCCTCTGGAGCGGAGAGGAGGCGTTGCCCCTGCCCGGGGCGCGGCCACCTGGGCTTGCGGGCGCCCGGAGACCTCGGGGGTGTCGCGGGAGGAAGGGGAAGGGCTCCCCGGGTGCACGGAGGGCCCCGCGGAGGTGAAGCTCTCCGGGCGGCCGGGCCTCCCCCGCGCGGGCGCCGCCTCCAACGCGCAGGGCAAGGGGAGCGCTCAAAGTGCCCGAGGCTCACGGGGCGCGGGGGCGGGGCCTGCCCTGCTGCCAAGGGCGGCTGGCGGGTGCGAGGCAGCGGAGCTCGGGCTCGGGCTCGGGCTCGGGCTCTCCCGGCCGCCGCCCCCTTCACTTCACAGGCAGGAGCCCCCAGGACGCGCGGGCCCCTCACTTGGGCTTCCGAGGCCGGGCCGGGAGCCGCCGAGACGGCTGGGCCCTGGGCTCTGCTGACCCGTAGGACGTCTCGGGCCGGGCGAAGGCACCGTGCTGGGGCCCGCGGCCGCCGGGACGGACAGGGGCTCCCCCACTCATCAGGCTCGGCTGCTTCTCTGCGACCTCTTGGGCGCTCCCGCACTGTCACCCGCAGGCTGAGCACGAGGCGTTTTCTGGCAACATTTTGTCTGTGCACCTCCACCGCCCCCGAGAGGATGCGAGGTCAGGGTGGGGCACCACGGGTGTCCCCTCTCCGTGTGCCCTCGCGTGCTCCCAACAGATGCGTGCCCTGTCGGTTCAGGTACTTCGCAGGTTCACCATTGAGAGTGCCCCAGTGTGTGCGTGTGCGCTGGCCTGTGCGTGCAGCCGCCACCCTGTGGCCCGCGGCCCCGGGGTCTGGGTGAGGGACACCCAGCAACTACTGCAGGCTCCCTCCCCCGCGAGGGGACACCTGCCCCGCTGCCACACCACAGAGTCGGGGCTCTGCCCGGGCTAAAGTCTGTGCAACAGTTACTGCTTCCAAGTGGCGGCAGGGGGCGCTCGGGAGGATGCACGACGGAGAGCTGAGTGACAGCGCGGCGACCTGAAGGCACCAGCTCCAGGACTCACTGAGAACTGCTCAACTTACTAGATTCAAAATCAGCAGAACAAGGCCTCTGCTTCCAGCCGACGAAGTGACCGGGACTGGATGTGCCCCCCAACCCAGGACACGGGACGGGGCCGACGCCACAGCTGTCACACTGGAACACGCGGGGACAGTGAGGTAGGCCCAACGGCTCGGGCCAGAGCTTCCAAACCCTGGGGCGGCGGGAGCCCGGGCACTGCTGGCCACGGCGCGGAGACACAGGGCCAAGGCCCCAGGGTGGCGGGGCTCAGGCTCCAGCCTATCGCCAGGTCTGCGGGGCGCTCAGCCAAGCCTCAGCCTGATGCCCACGGACACTGGCGCACGAGGCCGCCACCTGAGGCAGAGAAGCACCCGGGGAGGCACAGGCTGCAACAACCGAGGGGCACATGGCGCCTCCCACCAGTCTGGGGGTGAGCAGAGCGTCTGCCGGTAACCAGCAGGGTACCGCCTTGGTAGGCAGGAAAAGCCACCCGGGCTGCCCTGGGGCCACCTCGCAGCGCCTGCAAGGACAGACAAAACCAAACAATTTCCAAGAACAGACACTTAAAGAACAGGGCACCCCGGGTGTTGCAGTGGTTTAGCACCGCCTTTGGCTCAGGGCCTGATCCTGGAGTCCCGGGATCGAGACCCACGTTGGGCTCCCTGCATGGAGCCTGCTTCTCTCTCTGCCTCTGTCTCTGCCTCTCTCTGTTTCATGAATAAATAAATAAAATCTTAAAAAAAAAAAAAAGGAACAATGCACCAGGGAACCCTAAGGCAACTGCATGAGTGAGTGGGAGTCCTGCGGGACAGGAATGCGTGAACTACTCAGTGGAGGCTGTTCTGTGAACCTACACATCCAAGGACATGGATGGACCGCAAGGACAAGAATCATGGAGAAGAAAACACACCAAGGCACATCACAACCAAGGTGCTCGACATCAGTAATAAAGAAAAAATCTTAGAAGCAGCCAGACAAGCACATTACACACCGAGGAACAGATCCAGATGCCAGGAGAGTTCTCAGGGGAAACAGGGCCAACCACACGGGGATGGAGCGGCAGCGTTAAGTACTGGAAGAGAAAAACCAACAAAAGTTCTGTAGAGTTTTTAAATGATTTGCTGATAAAAACAAGGGAAGATTTTGCTGGTGTCCTCACCACTAGCCTAGCCTTTTAGTGGTTAGGTTTTAGTCATCAGTGATGAATGAGTGGTTCCAATGTTACGTTTGTAAGCAGTTAACAACGGAGTTCTGGGATTTGTTTGCGTAGTACGATTGTAAGGCATTAAACAAAAACAGCTGTTTCTCAGCAGCACTTAGCTTCATCAAGCTTTAGTTTTTCAAATCTCCCAAGGAAATCCTGCTGGTAAAACCCCAACACTTGGGACTTGGAAGTGGCTGAGAAGTGCTTGCATAGTTTCTGATTTCCCAAAATGCTCTCACCAAAAACAAACAAAAAACAAGTGAAAAGTAAATTCTGCGTAAAAACTCCGTTGGCAGCATCAGTTGGAGAATTTTAGAGCTGCAAAATAACTTAGAGGAAAGTCACCAAATGCCAGTGTGTGATCTCTTGCACCTCATCTGCCCTCAGTGAGCCAAGGGAGCTTGAGAACAGGGGGGTGGGGGGCAAGAGAGGAAGGCTGGCGAAGGCCCTAAGATTAAATCGTAATGTCCATAAAACATTCCAAGAAATAAAAACAATTTTCCAAATATCCCTATACTATATACATTGATAAGAGAAAAGTCAATCTATCCAGAGCTACCGCAGAAAATGAGATAAGATTTCACACACATGAACTGAGGACCCACCAGCCTCTGTGAGACTCTATTACAAATGCATAACATAACCACACTGGAGGGGATCAGGAATAAGACGCACCTGAGTAAATTTAGAAAAGTCAATATTTTCATTGCACAATGTGAGGCTAAAGACACTGTATGCAAATGCTGTACTTCTCACAGGGCCATGGTCTGGAAATGCTGTGATGCCTTCAGGTGTATACCAGGAATGAGCACACTGAGGTGAGTCTGTGTGCATGGACTCACAGATACGCCCGTTTCCCGGCTCTGTCTGCGGACAGGGCCTGAGGCCAACTCCGACAGCAGTGAGCACTCGTGCTGACCCGATCTTGGCTTCTGTATAGCATTCTCCAGTAAAAGAAAGTGGAGTGTGTTGGAGAAGAGGCTGATTCCAGGGCAGGACAATACAAGGTGAGCCTAACATGCCCTGTGGTGCCAAACTCTTGAGAAAGGATGGCGGTTTTCAGAGAGCCAGAACCCAACCTAACAAAGCTCATCTCTAAGGGCTGACGGCTCCCAATTCCTTATGGAATAATGAGTAATGAAGTAAGAGATGACAGTATTGTACTTTAACTCACAGACCAAGTAAACATCAGTGAGTTCACATGGATATAAATATTTGACTAAATAAATGGTGTAGAAGGACAGCTTTTCCTTACAGGTAAATTCTGAGTATAAACATAAATGGAGGGATCCCTGGGTGGCGCAGCGGTTTGGCGCCTGCCTTTGGCCCAGGGCGCAATCCTGGAGACCCGGGATCGAATCCCACGTTGGGCTCCCGGTGCATGGAGCCTGCTTCTCCCTCTGCCTGTGTCTCTGCCTCTC